ATGGGAGGCACTATTTCTAAAATTTGCATGTGGCCTTAAGAAGTGCACAAAAGGAGATAAATCCCAGAGCAAACCTGGAATACAGATGGCTGGCAGAGTCCCAGTACCACAGCTTCCTCTGCGTGCAGAGCCATGCTTCTTTGTTCATGGACCTCAGAATCCACTGTAAGGTTAAGGGATGGGATTTAGCCCTTATTTTCACAAAAAGCATCCCAGTCTAGACAGCCTTGCTCTTCTTAATTAGCCTACCTGCTGCTGAAGGACTGGAGCTCATCAACCATGGAGTTCTGCTTTCAGCTAACCGCCTAACCAAAAATATATTCATTTATGAATTGTAGGTATTACATAGTTTATCACTGATACAATGAAAACTCCAGTGCAGCTAGTATTTCAAACTGGATGCATCCATTGTGATAGTAATCTACAAATCTCTTTTAATTCTAGAAGTCAGTGAAGTATTTTTCTTCTGATAGATATCATACCTCAGGAACAAAAATAACGACCTAAACCCCACTAAAGTAAAACAACAATTTAATAGTAGTCTGTATTTCTCATAGTACTCTGATCTTAACACACTTGACAACTTCATTCAGGATGCAGCTAGAGTGTTTTTAGAGTCCAAACAGATGACAAAAGAGATTTTCAAATCTTCAGGTGTCTGCCTCCCTATCTGTCCATCTTTAAAATTTATTATCTTCTTAGCAACACTTTTTTTTACTTATATTTTCTCTATTTTTAGGTTTATATATTCAAAATAAGAATGGACATAAGCAATTATGATTTCTTGTTCTTATGTCCAGTAATGTCTCAAATATTTTCTTATGTAAGTATTTTTCCTTATATAGTTGCTGATATTTAACAGATACTGGGGAAAAAAAGATCTCATTTGTTCATCAGTTTTTATCTTCTCCCTTACCTCCTGTTTCTTAGGATACTAAAGTTAATCTGGAGAGTAAACTCCAATTTGTTTTCCTTTTTGAAGGACTAATAAAATTGATTACTTTTGTTGATTAAAGTTGCCTCTTTTCAAACAATAGTACTGTGACCAACAGGTTAAAGGAAAAGGCTGAATAGCACCATCTTAAAACCTGTATAAGTACAATAATACTACATCTAATAGTATAATAAAGAATATATTATTTAATAATATTAATTGTATCAAGGAGATAAATTCTTCACTAAACAGTTTTCCCTTTGTTAATGCCTTAGAAATAACTCAAGAGTCTAAAGAGATACTACTTTTAGGGAACATGGGAATTTCAGTGGACAAAGTGCAAGGATTTACTTTATTCTGACTCAATCTATACCTATGACTTGGTATGGGGCCTTCAGTGTGCTGCTCAATTCTTTCTGTCTCCTCTTCTGTGAAAAAGGTGGTTATATTTCATTGCATGTGTCACTGCAGTGTGGTAAAATTAACCTAGCAGCAGTGAATTTCTTTTCAAAAAAGTCCCTAGTATAAGTAGTTCCACACAATTATAAAAATCTCTATTACACAAGGTGATGGTACAGTTTGTTTACAGGTAAATGGTGTAGCTAATTTCAGAGAGAAATCACCCAGGTTTGGGAAAGAAGCAGTTAATGCCTAAATTTCTACCCTTATTGTATACTGCATAAAACCCAATACTTTTCTTCTGATTGTATAAACACAAATATATCTAATGTTATACCAAGTAAGATCTGCCCTTTACCCAGTCCAAAATTACCTTTTGTGGATGTGGAAATGGTTGAGAGATGTTTATTCAGGAAAGAAGGAATAAAAAATATTCTTGACACATTTCTAACAATGAATGTCCAACAGCCAAGCTGATTTATGAAACAGAACTATTGTCCTCCTACACCTGCAATGCACTAGTAACTGCAGCAGCAGCTGGGCACCGGACTCAGCATAACCCGGGAGTTGGTAACTGCCAGGCTGATTTCTGTTCCAAGGCTCTGCCTGAACCCTGCATGGCTTTGATCACACTAACCTCCTGTCAGTTCAGTCACCTGAGACAACCTTCAGCTACAAAGTGGGGATAAAAGTTTAAATTCCATAAAAGTACCATGAGTTATAAAGAGTTCCTCAGAAATGCTACATCCTACTACTGAAACATTAGAGCAAATGTCTTTCAAAAAACAGAACATATTTTTAATGCAGAATGAATTGAGACAGACTGAATTACTGGCATTAGACCATGAAGGGTATGCATATGTATTTCACACATGCAAATTCCTCATAGGGAACCAATAACTGTCTGACCGATAAAATGACATTATTACACTAAACAACCAGAGGTTGTTCTCAGTCAAGCAGAGGAGAAGCTGAACCAGCCACGGCATACTTGAAGCCATTTCTTGAAAAGACGTGCAGACTAGGAGGAACCCGAAGTTATAACCACCCCCTGAACCACAAGTGAAGAGAGGGAGATGGCTGGGCCCAGGAATGCTAAATCAGGAAGTGCTTGTGGTTAAAAACAGAAGCAACCACATGAATAAGAGGTTTTAGGAGACAGCTAGACGACAGTGATTGAAAAAAAAATATTAAAGCACAGAAAAAAGAAAACCAAGAAGGATTAAAAGGCCCAAAAGATCTGTGGGCATTTGAATCCGGTTTCAGGAGAACAGAAAAGTAAAACCCAAACAACTAAAGATTTAGACATCCTGTAACAATAAAACAATAAAACTTTCTTGTCGTTAAAAAAAAGTAAAATCTCAATTTGGTCTTACTTTGCCATCTGGAAGCTTTCTCTTAAATAAACAAATGAAAAAAACACACACAACATAAAAATAGTCTTCATTTTCTTCTACCCACCAGAAAAAGATCTCTTAATGACAAACCCCCAAATGTTACACTTTCAGCCTTGCATAACTCTATAGAGAACCTTTTAGCTATCATTGACCATCTGTAATGTTCCTCTCAGATGCTAAGAAGCAGAATTTAATAAAAATATGAAAATGAGTAATGTTTCAACATTAAACACAAGGAAAAAAGTAGTTTTAATTATCCTACAAATGTTTGCATTGACTAGGCAGGGAAATATTTCCTGCATGTAAACCACATTATGGTATTCAGAAAATAATGGAGGTAGCTCCTAAATGTTGTCTCACACCTCACCTTCTATACTGAAAGAAAACTTTAATGAGAAAACCTTTTTGTATGAAGTAATGATGCAAGGGAAAGGAATGCAAAACAAACCAACATGATTCTAATTTGACCTTTCCAGCACTAGAGCCCACACAATCCACAACACTTTTTATTTGGAATTATATCAAAGCACTGGAGAAGCACTGTTAATTTGTGGGAATATAACACATCTGCAGATGATTAAGGAGATGCTGCCACTTACCATTTGAAATGAGGAATTTGCTGTTTATACTTAAAAGAACTCTTTCCTTCCAGTCCAACTCGTAAGTCTAAAATGCTCCTTTAAAAGACTTTAAATGGCTTGAAGGAGGGAGCATTGTGCCAAAAGAGAGGTCTCAAGCTTTGAAGCTGTAGGCATCTGCATCATGTTGATTATTACATGTAGTTTGCACTTCTAATAAGTGAGGAAATGAGAATTGCCCATTGCTGACCTCTATTTGGCTGTAAGAAATATTACAATCCAGGTTTCTTATTCCTTTTCTTTAGACATGATGTTGAGAGGTCACTCTAACAAAGAAATGTTTTTTGGGGAAAAGCATGATTTTGATGCCAAAAGATTTTCCTCTGAATCAGCTTGATATTCTTTTCAGTGAAGGGGAAGTATGAGGATTTCACTGTAAGAGTGGTCAACCACCCTGGAACAGGGTCTAAGGGAGGCTGCAGAATCTCTATCCTCAGAGATACTCGACACTCAGCTGGACACAGCCCTGGGCATCCTGATTCAAATTGAGCAAGAGTTTGGACCAGACCTCCAGAGGCTCCTTCTAACATGAGTTATTCTATGAAACATCATGCCTGTTTCATACTGATTTTGATAGAACAGTTCCTTTCATCATTAAAAATACAAACAAAGTAAAAGAAAGTGCCTGAGAGTTGCCCTCATGCTGAAGCATATTTGCTGGTCTCTATCGTACCTGCAGGTGTGGATGTGCTTGCACAGATCCATCTCTGCCCAATTGCGATTGGACTTAGAGTTGAAGCGAGGTTCAACCATTGACTGTTCTGGCCTTTGCCAGTATCTCTCCATGCAGATACAAACTGATGCTCTAACAAGTACTACATCTGCAAAGGAGCTGTAATAGGGGCCATCTAGAACCAAGCAAAACCAGGACTCAATAGTTTTGGGAGACAGAAGTCCCCAGAGAAATCTTGGCCATATACCATATTCTTAGAATCCTGTTACACTCTGTGCCTAATGATCCTGGTATATTTTAAACAGCATGAAGAGAGATGCTTCAACAAACAGACAGGAAAGAAACTGTTTCTTCTTTCATAAAATCTCATGCTTTGCTTGTCTAACGAATAGGAAATAAAATGTGTCAAAAGAGGGAGTAATTAATTTATACAGGTTAACATACTTAACGACATGTTAAGAAAGATGCTAAGATCTATACCCTCAGAAAAGTGAATGAGACTATTCTCGTCTTCTGATTTTAAGCATAAAATTGATGCTTTCATGTTGTCTAGCACAGTCTTTCAGAGTGTTAACTTCAAGCCTATATAACTGACCAACAATTCTTCTGTCATCAACAGAAGTGTCCCTTTCCTTGCCTCACTTATTATAATGATGGGTGTTTTATAAAATTGTATGGCATTCAAGTCTTTCAACAATTTCGATGGGCAGTTTTTGTCAAAACTGATTGGTAACTTCAGATTTCCAGATTCATGGAAATACAAATTTATATCATAGGCAGACCACTTATTTTTATTTTCAGCAATTAATTCAATTTAGTGTTCTTATAGTAACAAGCCTTGAAATCTACTTCTAGATAAAGTGTAAAAACAATGCTAAGATCTATCAATATAATTTTCACTACTGCTTCTAAAATTAGGCATATGCTTATTTGCATTTAAATATTTTTCTCCATTGCAGTGATTCGAGCAAAAATATCCAGTGAAAAGGTGGTTCCTGCCAGTGATGATCCTCTTGACACCCACAAAATGATCCGGTATGAAATCAAACAAATAAAGGTACATGGAATCACTCAGCTATTTTGAAGTTCAATGCTGATAACCTATATGTATGACTACAGTTTAGCCCTAAATTCTTTAAGATGGAAAAGGCTCCAGCTGCCTGCACAGTTAGACCCAGGTGAACTACAGAGAATAAATCAAAGTAGGGATTGAAAAAAAAAAAAGGGGGGGGGGGGAAAGCTGTTCTGACATTCATGAGCTTGTTGCTAAATAACTATACTTTGATGAAAATTTTTGTTATTCACAATTGCTTTATGAAGACTTTATGAAAAAGTGCTTCAGTGTACAAAGTGGTCGATACATTTACTGTTACAGGTGGATACTTGATCAGCCATGATGCATAACAATATTGCAACTCTCTAACTGGATGAGTCAAAATTTATAAACAGAGGAAAGCATCTCCAGCTGAAATAGCAAGGATCTAAGTGAATAGGGAAATTTGCAGAAATGGGAGTGCTTCCCTGATATTCACAAACCAAAATCCATTTGTATGAATGTTGCTAGGAAAGCAAACACAAAGTGGGAGCACCCAAAACCACTTATTGAGAATCTCATGGGATTTCTCCATTATTTGTTCAGCTCCAATAAGGAGACATAGTCATTCCTGTACTTTAAGATGACATATATTCATCCCATTCAAGTTGCCATCAAACTCTCACTGATGTAAATAAGCTCATGATCTACCTGTTTCTGGAACATACAAAATACAGGTAGACTATTTCAATCAAAATGTCTTTGTGTGCATTGCTGGGGTTTTGTGTTTGGTTGGTTTGTTTGCTTGCTTCTAGCTTTCTAGGTGGTTTTATCTCTCATTTTTCAGATAATATTATTTTGTATTCTTTGTATTGATTTGTATTATTACATTAACCGGTAACATTTAAGTAGATCACTATGAATGGCTACATGCTTTCAAAAAAATTTCAACTTTTCAAATCGTGTAAGTAGATCACCCCAAAGGAGTTTTACTAGGAAAAACCTATGGTAAGCAAGAATATCTCAAAATATTCACAGGCATGGTTATCACGCATGACTTTTAATGGGTTTATAGCAATCTCAACAAGCCAATTCTCTTTGCCTTGCTAAAAGAAACCCCAAAACTCTTTGCCATCTGCCAGTTTCTGCCTTCTTAAACTATGAAGGATATTTTCAAATGTTTCTTTACAGAAATAAGTATGTAAATACCAGAGCAATTCTCTTTCCTCCCATTAGCACTTTAATTTTTTGTTGCTAGCCTGCAACACTTCAGTAACTTTATAGAAATGCAAATCATCTTATACTTCAGCACAAAAAAGAAGAATGAGAAGACTAGTCTGTGTTATTATTTTCAGTCCATAATCCCATTCTTCAGTAGCAGCACACTGAAATATCTGAAACACATTCATATATTGGAGCTGCTTTGCAGTTTCTCCCACATCTTCCTAAGTGGAGGCCTTCTCTAAACACAGGCACCAGTAAGAGATCTTTATTTAATTCCACTAAGCTTCAGAAGGCAAGTCAGGCAGGACTGGACAAACCAGAGAGATTCGCTAATAAAAGATGCTCCACATCATTACATACAAGCTTAGACTAAAACAAACGGGTTGTAATAGTCCCAACCTTCAAATTCTTGCTTCTGGCCAGCAGCAAGCCAGGAAGAAGCAGGAGCTGAGGCTCCCACCCCAGGCCAAGGGACCCAGCTCACTGCTCAGTGCCTCTAACAAACCAAACAGAAGGACTCGTGTTTGAAATCTCCACAACACTGAGTGGGCGAGCAAACAGGAGCTTCTATACACTGCAAATCTTTTGTAGAACAGCTAGTAAACTCAGTGTGGCACTGAAATAAATCCATAAAGGCAACTTTGTCCCTGGTAAATCATACAGGAAATGACAAAGAGCGATGTAACCTATTATATTCTATGCATATAATTCAAGTGGCATGTGGGTAAAATCTAAACAGGACTGGGTATTCTAAAAAATTACTGAGAAATAAGTACTTTTAAATTAACAGAAGTTTAATAGGAAAGTGTTATGGACAACACCATAAAGCCATATCAAGTTACAAAAGTAAAGAGAGTGAGGAATTTTAAACAGCTCTTGCTTGTAAGCATTTGGTAAGTGTAAAATAATCAATTAAAATAATATAATGTTGTATACAATCAGCCAGATTTGGCCATCTCCATGTGGCAGGACAATTTACAGACTGACTTGCTAGCATCATAGAAACAGCTTGTCAAAGATCTTCAAACTGAGCCTTATGCATCAGTGACCTCATACCTTTTCCCTCAGATGATAACATTTAAAGCAATTTAAGCCAACAGCGTATGTCAAATGGTAGCACATATTCTTTTCACTATATAGTCTTTCTTCTTGTGAGTGCTTACAGACTGATTTCTCATATTGTAAATTGAATGGCCTGCAGTTATGACAAACCGAACGGTTCTTTCAATTTCCAAAGGCACTGATCGCCTGTTTCTGGCTAACCCTGTGCAGAAACCCTTACAGGACTGGAGGGATATGCTAAGAATCCACTTTATATGACACAGAAAGTAAGAACAGACTCACTAATCATCTCTTTTGAGCTGTGAGATCTATCAAGCTAAAACATAATTATCAACTCAGGATTAGTTTGGGTGAATACTTTTTAAGCCACAAACATATTCACGCTTCCCTCAGCAATTCTCCTCCCCCCTTAGAAAAAAACACAGAAGCTATAGAGGTCACATTTTACTGCAACTGTAAATTTACTAAAATGCTGCTGTGTCCCTTTTATATTACCCTCTGGGCTGTTTGACATGTAACATTGGGGGACTGGTTTATGCTACTCTTGTTACAAAAATTGTATTTCTGTTTTTTTAAATCGAGTGCATTAGGCTTAGTATTAAAACATTGGTATTTTTGGATAGAAATATTAAATATTATTCTGTCATTCATTTTCAGAAACGAAAAAAAGAGAATAATGATGACGTTTATTCAATTTTTATATATGGGTTGGCATATTAAGAAGCCATACTTTTTTTCAATTACTGTTGTTTTCTTTTATTGCAATATTTACAGCATTATACTAAAGAGAGAAGAATATACATGATTCATATGCAGTTGAATATTTGTCTTCACAATATTATTGTTACTGACTTAGTCATTGTACTTACTCTGGGGAGCCAGCTAAATATTAAAGGAGTGCCATTGGCTTTTGTGACTCTCCGTCCTATATTATCAGAGTAGCGAAGCACAGCCCAAGATTTTACTGTCATACATGAAATCAACACATTTTACCAAATTAAACTAGTATAAACAATATTGCTAAGTATTTTCCTCACAAGCTGCCTGGATGGAAACCCACTGAAAGAACCAGACTCCTTTTACAGGAAGGTGGGGTCCCCTCCCAGTGGGAATATGAGGGGCTACTTAAGCTAAGCACAACAGTATCTACGCTGTACAATGATGCATACACTTTTAAAGATGCATATGGATCACTACATAAAGCTAAGAAAACAGTATCATTGAAAAGGCTTCGAGAATAAAGAAGATAGAAGAATTTAATTATTGCAACAGGAATATGCCTGAGACACTGAAAGTCATACAGACAGACTTTAAAAAACATATTCTAAAATCTTAAAGCAACACCCATGTACTGATCTTGGTTATATACCCCAGAAGGACAGGGGCAGTGTCAATGTAGACTTTAGTATCAGGCTCACATCTCTCCATTCACCCAGTTCCTCACCCTATTTTCCTAACTCAGTAAAGTCCTACCAGAACCACAAATGTAAATGGATCATACCACAATGCAGAACTGAATCAAGCCATCTTATCCCTTTACAGAGAAAGTATCCACACTTTTAGATGAGAAAATATGATTGAGAAGATCAAACATGACTTACTGAGTTAAACAAAAGATTAGAATCTTACAAAATGCTTTAACAAATATCTAGGTTAAAATACGAGATAGGTCAGACCTTAATTTCAAAAAACCCCCAACCAAGCAACTAAAAAAACCCCAGCAAAACAAACGCCATACTCATTTAAATATTAACTAGATATCCATTACAAGTTCCATGGATATTTATCTTTTTTTTTTTAATTAGCTAAATCAATTTGTGTTGCCTGCATATTACCCCTTAAGTTAATTTAGATCAAGTGATGAGATATTAAAAGTTGTACCCTACTACACACTGTTGACCAGCCAAAGGTTTGTGAATGTGGAGAGACCTGAAACCAGAGGACACTCGCACAGCTCAGGCAGTCGCTACGCACCAGACATCTGTGACCAGCGCCCACAGGTGGAACGAGGCAGGTTTGAGCGCAGCAGCAGCAGGGGATCCAAGGTTCAAAGACAGCAGAACACAATAGCTCCTAGCAGGAGGGGGGAAAGGCCAGGGCTCCCGCTGCTGCGCTGGCCATGGGGCAGGCTCTCTCCGGCACTCCTGCAGCCCGCTCCCTCTTTTGGCCATCTTTCTGAGAACTTTCATATGGGGCTGACAGACCAGACCACTTCTGTCTGAATAAAATTAGGCATATTTTCATCATCATCATGTATGTCTTCTATTATTTTCACTTCTGCTTTGTACAGGATACTGGTTTGCTCTGTTTGCTGTGTTTGTTTTTCTACTAAGTATTTCAAATTCACATCTAATATTTTTGGATCAGAAGCCCAGTGACAACAACTTCGGCTTTTTTTTTTATTCCATAAATAAGGCTTCAGAAAAATCAACGTATTACAGCATATTTTCTAGTGCCCTGTACTATTTAAATCTCCTGAGGGAACTTGAGTAACATGAACATGCTTTTCAGTGAAGCCAGCTGCAACTGGGAGAGAGCCTGCCCTTGGGAGCTGCGAGCCTTGCAATTGTCCACAGCTGTAAACACAGCGTGATGTCACTGAACGGGGCCCACAACATGCCGGGGTTTCAGTTATGTCATACTAGGTGATGACAGGCATTCTGAGGTTGATTAGCATCTTATGGTTTCTTCTCACATTTGGACACAACTAAATTTGTTTTGATCTTTTAATATCTTATTTAAGAATTATTTTTATATTTGGAAATTCTAGTTAAGAAGCAGCCAACCTGAATACTGAGCAGGCTTTGATCCTGAACCTATCCATTTTGGTGCTGCAGCCTATAAATTCCAAGAGCTGGATCCCATTTTCCAACAGTTATTTGAGAAGGTTGCATTGGGCAGAATTCTGGATGTGGAAAACCAGCCTGCTTTAATGACCTACTGGGAGAACAACGCTCAGTTTCTTAGCATGTTTCATGTCCTTGAATGCACACATCATTACACTGATCAAGATCAAATTTCCCACATTAACACATTGAGAAATTTTTGCATCTTACAACACTGCAGCAACCTTGTTTGAGATCAATGCTGTCTCTGTACTACTCCTTAGATGGAAGATGCCAGTAGAATATAAATTGAAGAGAAAGCTTTAAAGATCCATTAAAAACACTGAAAAACCAGAGTCAAAAACCTATAATTAAAAAAATGAAGATCTAATTTCCTTTTACAAATAATGGACACCTTTCATTTGGTGTAGAGAAGGGGTCTAATTGTTGGTATAGTCTCATACAAGTTCAGACTTTAGAGCCTTGTTTTAAAGAGATGCACCATGTATTTCTTTCAGCTGTTGTTTGCAACTGTTTTTTCATATCTGTTTTCCACTACTGACTTTCTGTTTCTGACAATTCTCAGATGTTTAAAGGATTTGAAAAGCTCAAGGATGTCCAGTACGTTTATACCCCTTTTGATTCATCACTCTGTGGAGTGAAACTAGAAGCTAACAACAAAAAACAGTATCTTTTGACAGGTAAAACCTAACAAAACTAATGTACCTATAAAACCAGAAGTAACTGCTTAGATTGATATTGCAAAAATATGCCAGCCCTTGTTAAAAAATAGTATATTTGTGTACTAATAATACAAGCACAAAGAAACATACAAATGGTGTACTGTGATCTTACATGTTTTCTTTCCTTCGATGTTAAAGCAGTTTCAAAGGAAGTCAAGGGCAGTAACTATGTAATTAGTAAATGGGAAGTACGCAATTATTATTTGTTTAAAACCAACAGTACTGATTTTCCTTCGAATGCAAACATGCTTAACAAGACAAGGCATGCCTACATGTATGCAGATTTGGGGTTCTAAGTAATTACAGATACTTTTCTATAGAGTCCTGAAATCTAGTTTAACATAGTATTGCATTTGCATCCATCCCTTGCTGGCAGATTATCAGCATCTTCTGAAAATTATCCTTCTTAAATCTTTTGCATTTTTTCAGCAATCAGCAGAATAGTTCTCTCAGTTACAATTACATTCATTGAAAGAAGTGTGAAATATGACTGATGTGGTGCAATTAGTTAAAAACTTCAGGTATTCTTGCAATTTATTTCAGTATTTAGAAACCAGTTTTATTTGCTTGCCTTATCTTTCTTATTTTCCATGCTATAGGTCAAATTTTAAGTGATGGTAAAGTCCTCATCCACTTATGCAACTACATCGAACCATGGGATGATTTATCCTTGTCTCAAAAGAAGAGTCTTAATCAGAGATATCAAATGGGCTGTGGCTGCAAAGTAAGTACAGAATTAAACACTGTCCAATGGTGGAGCCCACCATACAGGCACTAGCAGTTTTCACTGGTGGGAACTGTTCTCTTATATACCACACATTTTATATTAATTGAGAATAAACACCAATTTAAAGAAACCTGCAGGATACTGAATTAATGTACTATTTCCCATTTAGATTACTACCTGCTACATGGTTCCCTGTTCAATCACAACGCCAAACGAGTGCCTCTGGACAGACTGGCTGATAGAAAGAAAGCTCTATGGGCATCAAGCCAAGCACTATGCCTGTATCAAGAGAAGTGATGGCACGTGCAGCTGGTATCGAGGTGGTCCTCCCCCAGAGAAAGAGTTTATTGATATCAGCGAACCTTAAAATGCTCACTTCCTAAAAAGCCTTGGAGTCTAATTCCATCCAACATTGCACGCTCACAGCTTTGAACTGCCATCGACTCACATATTTGTTGCTTAGAAACAAAACCAAATTGTCCTGTACAGCTCAAGCCCGAGTCTGTGGAATTGGCACTCGTGCAAGAGGAGGAACAAATCTCCTGGAGGTAGCTACTCTGTAAAGTTATGCTTTGTACAGAGAGGCTCAAGCTGAGAATGCTCCTCTGTCTCTTCTAAGACATAACAAGTTTCTCCTTTGCCAATATGAATGTACAAGACAAAAGAATTGCCAGCATTTTGTCCCCTGTTTCTGTTAACCTACAAATTAAGAGCACCCTGCGTTTTATTCCAAATCTTTCTGATGAACTACAGAATGTTTTATAGAACTATTTTTTTTCTGTATGAAAGTCTTCTGATACAAAATAATTATTGTACAATGTATATGTAAAGTATTATAACAATGTGCTATAAAAAAAAGTCCAAAAGTCCCTGTATTTCCTTAGCTGTTGAAACAAGTTGAACACTTCTGTGATTAAAACAATCTGTGCTCTGTATTTTCCATGTTACTTATGTCATAGCTTTCTTTATCTACAGAGTTGTAACTTTGATTGATAACTAAAAAAAGCCTTTGATAATCAAAATCCTCTTACTTAATCAATATTCCTACGGACTAGCTACAGCTTGTTGAAAGGAAAGCCAGATGTTCTAATGCTTCGGCATTTTATGGAACCGACACAAACAACGACAGGCTAAAACTGCTTATGTTTGCAGAAACCACATCCATCATCACGGCAGCTGTAGGACTTGACAACGCCTCTCTAAATACGTGACTAGGTCATTGTATTTCAGCACTTAAAAGCCTTGGCTTTAGAAACTCACGCAAAATATATGCAATAGAAACTGAATAACTTACACTGCAAGTAACTTCTAAAAAGCTCTCAAATACTTGACCATATTTAATAGTTTAAATTTACACTAATGATTTTTAATTCATGAATACCCATCGTACTCTCATAACGAATTCGGTAACTTCTGAACTTATATTAGAGAAGTGTTACAACGTATTTTGCCTTTTAGTTTTTGAGTGTCTTAACTTTTATGAATGGATTACTGTAGCTAGGAACTAATCTCACATATATTTAAGTTTACAAAAATAATTCAATTCACAGTGGTAAAACTTAAGAAATTATTTCAGTAAATGCCAAAGTTTAGACACTTGTCCAACTGCAGTGATGAGAGCTGTCACACAGGTTATCAATCTGTAATAGCTGCCATTTCTGACATATTTTTACTCTCTCCAGTTTTCTCCATTGGATTTCTTTCACTTCATTCCAATTTTGGTTAGAAAGTACTCTCATGTATTCCTCATATGTGGTTTTAGAACAATAAGCAGAGATTCAGCCAGTTCTGTTCCCCTTTGGTTAGATCAGGCCTATTTGAAGGTTGAACACAAACACTTGGCTC